ATGATAGAAATCACTTTGCAAGGAGTGATACCCACTTTTAGAGCTGGTGATGTTAGTTTGATAGCTGTTTGTAATAACAGTCTACTGTTAATTTATTGGACTACGAAGTATTACATTTTTGCAGGAGCAATGCAAGGTGTCATCCCAGGTGTGTGCCTCAGCACAAGAGCTGGTTTTAGTTGCTTTTCTAAAGTTTGTTCGTCATGTCTGATGAAGGTTTTGGAGTGTAAGTCCTAGAGATTCTGCTTCCACCGAGGGTATAGGAGTACAGCTGGTAATTGTGTGCTCTCTTGCAGCCATCCATGAAGTGTGCTTGAATCTTACCTCCATGGGGGTACCATCAGGGATAAATGTAGCCTGTTGAGGCCGTCAGCAGCGGGCCAGCTTGAAGGACCCTCATCTGCCCTATGGGCTCTTACACACTATGGACTGAATTAAATAGCTTAATCATATGGTATAATAAATGCTCATTAAACAGCAACTGCTTTGCATTTGTCAACATGGCCACTGGTCCATGGAGTACAGGCTCTGTAATTCCTTATCAGTCCCCAGAGGAATGATAGCACTTCAGTTCTTCAATTCTAAGGCAAAAGAAAAATGCCCATTAAACATTCCCATTGCCCTTACAGCCCAGTGCAGCACGTCTGCCAAATCAAACTGGAGTTTAGAAAAGGGGTTAGTACGTTTGGAAAGAGGAAGAAAAACAAGTATTTTGTGCACTAATGTAGCTGCATAACTAAGTCTGTGAAAACAAAGAAACTAATTCAACACATAATACTTTAAAAAAAAAAAAAAAAAGCTAGTCATAGTAGAAAACAAAACCAAAACCCTTTTCTGAGGATGAGTTGTTCTTTTTCGGTTTAACCTACTCAGGAAGGTCAGCTGGCCAGCCTGCCTTAAGGAAATATAAATTTTCAAAGTAAAGCTAAGGTGATACTTACAAATAAAAGAAAACTTTCTGTGCAAAATACCTTGCGGTGTGACACGTTAAATTTCACCTGGAAGTATAAATCTCACAGCTTTCTATCCCAGACTTGTTCATTTGTGCCTCCAGCTGGGGTGAGGCGTTGATTTGTTTTCTGTGTGTGTTTTTGTGTTGTGGTTGGTTTTTTTTTTTTCGTTTTCCTGAAGCAAAACGGGTGAGAGCACACAGAAAGAGTTCCGCTTTCCACCCCCTCCGTTTTCCGTTGCCCGTCTCCTTCATCTTCCTGCCACATCTCCCTGTCGCACGCCTCTTCCCGCACCAGCAGCTTCTGGGTGAAGCGGGGGGGGGGAGCCCGCCCCGGGGCCGTCCCGCCGCCGCCGCGGGGGAGCTGTCCCTTCAGCACCGCGGCGGGCCGGGTGTGCCCGGAGTTTTGGGGACGGATCTTGCTCTGTGGCTTTCCTCTTTGTTCCTTTTAATTGACCTGCTCCTCGGGACAAGGTCAAGCGAGCCTTCTACCAGTGCTGGAACTCTACGGGCTGAAGGTGGTAGGGCTCAGCATCTGATTTCTTTAGCTCGTTTGTCAGTGAGAAATATCAGAGCAGCTCCTCTTGTGTATTCTCAGTGGCAGGGTAGTTTCATGTCTGGAGTTATTGTCATTATAGTCTTGTCCTAAAATGTCAGTGTTTCTGGTCAGATTATACTCCTTCCTCTTCTAATCTATAGCTCATGAGCGTTTGAACACTCAGGCTGCAACTGCAGGAGTGAAACCTTTATTGTGTAGATCCTTGAAGTTCAGAGGGTTACCCAAAAGATGTACTCACAGTAACAGGCAAATTATTTTTGTGCTCTGGACTGGAAAGGGCATTTCCCCCTTTTGGGAGACTTTCCTGATCGGTTTTCTATCTTGCTTCCCGTTAATCTTTTGTTCATGCAACACTAGGAAAAAGAGCATAGGCATCCTTAGTACACTTGCTAAGGATTCAGATGTATTGTCTGTACTGATGTAATCCCTATATGTAGTCAACTCCTAGCTCATAGGTTTGACTGACTTACAAAAATAAGCCAGACTTTTAAAAATCATGTTCAATGAAGACAGCTCAGAAGAAAAAAAAAAAGTGTTTAAAAAAAAAAAAAAGAAAGAAAAAAAAAAAGTGTTTAAAAAAAAAAAAGAGAGACTTCAATTCAGCTGTGGAGAGCAGAGTTCATATTAAGTCCATACAGTTTTGTGAGTCTTGTACTATAGGCTTATATTTAGGAAAGACATCTGATTGAAAAAAGTAAAATACTTAAGTGGTATCTATCCTGCTCCCTTGCCTTCTATGACTATGTAATTTCTTTTAAAAATAGTGGAGAGTTCTATGTATACAATCAATATCTACAAAACCCAGTAATGTGATATAGTCCTCTGGATTAATGCCTACTTTAAGTCCATTACAGACTTAACTTCCTTTCCACTAAACAAAGCAGGGAAACCATGTCAAATTTGGGCTTCTAAATGCAGGAAAGTATTAAAAGTCTTGGTGAATTTCTGCTTAAATCCTTGCAATGTGGTATTTTTCCTTTAAAACTTTTAAAAATTTCATTGTCTGTAATTGGTAACCACCAAAACATCAGAGAAGATAACATCAATGATATCTCCCCAGTTGCCTACCGCTACTGTAAATTCAGCCACATAAACATGTTTTCATTGGTCAGTGTGTGGATTTTCCATTCTGCATTTGTATTGGATGGGTTCTTTTGGCCATCTGTGAGCATAAACTATGTTTAGTGTACAATTAGTTTTACAGGATACATTTTCTCACCCCTTTTGCTCCAGTTGCTATTTGTATGCTGAATTAAGACATGTGCATCTGTAGATTTTTACTATACAATGCCGAGTAGCTACCAGTTACTGTTGCAGCCTATAAAGTATAGCTGTGAGTGCATGAAATGGAAAATGATGATTCTGTTAATTCATACGGTTTCTGTAATAAAATTACAGTATGCATTAGTAAAAAAAAGTAGAATGTTTTTCTTATTGTTAGCTCTGCATACTCAGTATGTGGTCTGATCCATCTGTTTGTCACACCATTGTCAGCAGTGTCAGAATTGGTTAACAGATCTCTTGTGGGGAATGAATTTGCAAAGCTTTAGAGATGTGGAATAATAAGCGTGATTTGGGAAAAACTGAAAGATTGTTAGTAGCAGTTGAATAAAAGGCATTCACATAAGGGACAAATGCAGGAGCAGATGCATTTTCGGTTGAATTTTAGCTATGTCACATTAAGCACTCTATAGTGAAGTCAGTGAAGATTAGCCTCTGGATTTGTTTTTCTTTTTTGGAACTTTAAACCCTGCCCACAATGACATCGGTTTTCTATCTTGCTTCCCGTTAATCTTTTGTTCATGCAACACTAGGAAAAAGAGCATAGGCATCCTTAGTACACTTGCTAAGGATTCAGATGTATTGTCTGTACTGATGTAATCCCTATATGTAGTCAACTCCTAGCTCATAGGTTTGACTGACTTACAAAAATAAGCCAGACTTTTAAAAATCATGTTCAATGAAGACAGCTCAGAAGAAAAAAAAAAAGTGTTTAAAAAAAAAAAAGAAAGACTTCAATTCAGCTGTGGAGAGCAGAGTTCATATTAAGTCCATACAGTTTTGTGAGTCTTGTACTATAGGCTTATATTTAGGAAAGACATCTGATTGAAAAAAGTAAAATACTTAAGTGGTATCTATCCTGCTCCCTTGCCTTCTATGACTATGTAATTTCTTTTAAAAATAGTGGAGAGTTCTATGTATACAATCAATATCTACAAAACCCAGTAATGTGATATAGTCCTCTGGATTAATGCCTACTTTAAGTCCATTACAGACTTAACTTCCTTTCCACTAAACAAAGCAGGGAAACCATGTCAAATTTGGGCTTCTAAATGCAGGAAAGTATTAAAAGTCTTGGTGAATTTCTGCTTAAATCCTTGCAATGTGGTATTTTTCCTTTAAAACTTTTAAAAATTTCATTGTCTGTAATTGGTAACCACCAAAACATCAGAGAAGATAACATCAATGATATCTCCCCAGTTGCCTACCGCTACTGTAAATTCAGCCACATAAACATGTTTTCATTGGTCAGTGTGTGGATTTTCCATTCTGCATTTGTATTGGATGGGTTCTTTTGGCCATCTGTGAGCATAAACTATGTTTAGTGTACAATTAGTTTTACAGGATACATTTTCTCACCCCTTTTGCTCCAGTTGCTATTTGTATGCTGAATTAAGACATGTGCATCTGTAGATTTTTACTATACAATGCCGAGTAGCTACCAGTTACTGTTGCAGCCTATAAAGTATAGCTGTGAGTGCATGAAATGGAAAATGATGATTCTGTTAATTCATACGGTTTCTGTAATAAAATTACAGTATGCATTAGTAAAAAAAAGTAGAATGTTTTTCTTATTGTTAGCTCTGCATACTCAGTATGTGGTCTGATCCATCTGTTTGTCACACCATTGTCAGCAGTGTCAGAATTGGTTAACAGATCTCTTGTGGGGAATGAATTTGCAAAGCTTTAGAGATGTGGAATAATAAGCGTGATTTGGGAAAAACTGAAAGATTGTTAGTAGCAGTTGAATAAAAGGCATTCACATAAGGGACAAATGCAGGAGCAGATGCATTTTCGGTTGAATTTTAGCTATGTCACATTAAGCACTCTATAGTGAAGTCAGTGAAGATTAGCCTCTGGATTTGTTTTTCTTTTTTGGAACTTTAAACCCTGCCCACAATGACAGTACAAGTATGTTAAGGCTATTTTATTAAGTGTGGTGTTCACCACTGTTAGGTCAAATGCATCACCATTCACAGTGAGTACTTCATACTGCAAGATCTGTTTTACCACACTGTTTGGCAATGAAGGATTGTCAGAAGGGACTACTGCTTTCACTTGTATTGTTTAGGAGTAAAAATTGATGCTTCCTCCAAGGGTAAGGGTGAGGTTGGCCAATGTGAACCTTCAGGTAATGTAAATGGCTGTGTAGTTGCTAAATGTTTACATATTTTCTTTTCTTTTTTTTTTTTCCTCTTTCCCTAGTCCTGGAGATCGACTTCTCAGAGCTTGTTCTGGAGGAAATCATTGGCATAGGGGGCTTCGGGAAAGTATATCGAGCTGTATGGATAGGAGATGAGGTTGCTGTCAAGGCAGCTCGCTATGACCCTGATGAGGACATCAGCCAGACCATTGAGAATGTCCGCCAAGAGGCCAAGCTCTTTGCAATGTTAAAGCATCCCAACATCATTGCCCTCAGGGGCGTGTGTTTGAAGGAACCTAATCTTTGCTTGATCATGGAGTTTGCCCGTGGAGGATCGCTAAATAGAGTGTTGTCTGGTAAAAGGATCCCTCCTGACATTCTGGTGAACTGGGCGGTACAAATCGCAAGGGGAATGAACTACCTGCACGAGGAAGCAATTGTTCCCATAATTCACCGTGACCTGAAGTCCAGCAACAGTAAGTGCTACACAGTCAACAGCCAAGGTGCTGGGATATGGTTTTGGAAAGACATTGTACAAAGAAAAGAGGGGAGTAACATTAATTTAGCAATCCTTTCTGTGAACCACTGTATCCTCTAATTTAATCCCAGAGGGGTCTATTTTTCTTCAGTATGGTCCTAGAGACCACAGGAAACATGTAAATGCTTTCACTTTGTAGAAGTAACTTAAATCATTGGATGCAAAGGCAACTGTAAATGGAGCAGGCTTCTCTAGTAGTTCATGCATATACAGTGTCTCAGTTTTATTGGCATTTCAGCAGGCTCCTCCATGCTGGAAAGTCTTGGTGAACTTAAAATGTGTAATCTGTCTGCTTGTTGGCAGGATAAATGCTCCTTTGGAAAGATGAAAGCTTGGGAGCATTTATTTCCTTTGCTAGATTTTGCTGTAGAGTTGAGATGCAAGCCTGTTTCCCTTGTGGGAGATTTAACCCATCCCTGCTGAATTGGATCTTCTCTCTATCCCTCATAGAGCTGGGGTTGACAGAAATGTTAACTCGGGTAAACTAAATGTCCCAGCAGGTGCCCTTGTGCACCCAGGACTTCAGCTGATGTTTGTGGTGTTTTATGTGGGATGCAGCAGGCTCATTAGAGCATGGGGACTGAACTTTGGTAGTTATGATTCTGGAAATTGCAGTGAATAGCTGCTCTGTAATACTAACAGCATTATTGTCCACCACTGGAACACTGTGTTTATAGTGTGTGTGTGTTTTCCCAAACTTGAAATTGCCTTGAAGTCAAACATGTGTATAGAACATGATTTCTGAGTGTGGTAGCAAGCTGCTGTAGTAGTTTTACAGATCATCATCTCCTTTCCTGATGCCTGCGTGTAGCTGTTTGGCCTTTCTCTCTGCTGGTCTATGTCTAGATGGCAAGAGCAAACGCGTACCTGCATGTTGGCTGCAGTGGTTTAGATAGGTGTGTTTTTATGAACTCATTTTCATTTATGGCTTGAGTTAAGAAGCGCTAGAAACTGGGAGGCTGGGATGCAGGCATGTGTTCCCTTTTGCTTTGAGGGCAGTAACATCCAGCAAAGAGGACTGACAGATGGGAATTTTAATATCTTAAATAGATTCGCTAGAGCTAGCATTAACTATTACAGTGCTGTAAATTTTCAGGCTTTGCAGAATCTTCCTGGTTTTTTGGCCTCAAATCCTGTGGCAGTGAATTTACACAGTTTGTTATGAGGGGGGGGGGGAAACAAAAGTATTATTAACTCTTGCTTGTCAGTTTGAAAATAGAAAGTATGAGAGCTTTCAAATTAGTTTCTATAATATTATTCTTGTACTATTAATGTTTCCCTTTTTGTTAGAGCAAGGCAATCTTAATGCTTAGAAAGATTTCCTAGTATCTAATCCCTTCCCTTAGAGATGGAAGTGTACATGAGCATATTGATAAATGCTGTAAAAGAAGGAGTGGCTTGGTTAAGGGATGACTGGCTGCATCTGTGAATAAGAAATAGTTGCCTTTAAGTGTTGGGCCTTTCCTCCTTACCTAAGAAGGTATTTACTTGCTTATTTTGCCAACAGGCCATTAAGACTTTATTGCTTAATGCTATCTGAACATATTTGAGGTTTGGAATGAAAGTTATTTCTAAGATAAAAAGCTCCTAGCTCAGTTATTTCACTGTTTTATTCAAACTACAGCCTGCTAGTTGTTAAAGGGAAACTCATCAACCAGAGAATCAGCCCAACTGGAGGGACACCAGTGTCACAAACCACACACAGATATGGATGCTGGAAAACATCTGTACTGTTGGCAGCAGGAGTAAATGTCTCTTGTCACAGTGAATCAGCAGTATGTAATTGTGCTGCACTGTAAATTGTCAGTGAGAAGTTGAGGGTTTTGCTAAATATATTACTAGAATTTTCCTCATTTGGGAGGAAGCAATAGTAAAGGAAGAATGAGCAGAAATGCCTGTGGAAGGATTCAGAAATGTCCTGTATTTGGAGAGGAGAGGTAAAAAATTTGCATGGTGGTTTTGACTGAAGATACCATCAGATCTAGTAGAGAAATGATGGCTATAGGAAAATTCTAGCCCAGCTAAGTCTGGAGAAAGCAGTATTACATTTGGGAAACTAAATAGATGTAGGAGCTGGGACTGGAGAGAAGAACTTCAGATATTTTAAGGAAAATTCATTGGTTTGTAACTGTTTTGAAATAAGATGAATTAGCAGCCTCAGGTGTGGGCTTGACATACTACAACAGCTGTGTGCTTTAGTTTGGCAATATAGAGTTCTTCATTCTGTGCTGTGGTGGAAGAGAAATTTTTAAAAGTATATACTATTGTAAACTTTGAAAATATATGTTCTTTTCTGGGTGTATTTATAAAGCAAGTATCATAAATATTGGATTGTGACAAGGAAAGAGGGACTCCTGGTCTTCTGTCTGGGTTTTTTTTCCCCCAAAAAAGTATATATTACCTATACGTAAAAGTAGACTTAACTCATGGTTATCTGTAGGACAAACAACTTTGGATTGCCCAAGTCATGTCTTTCCTGAATACTGTGCTGTTGCATTACTGAAATAGCTTTTCCATTATATGTAATAAGCATCTTGGAAATTTCTCTGCTCTGTTTTCTGTAGAAAGCTTTTTTACAATTTTTTTAAAAGATTAGTGGACTAAGTATGTTATTGCATCCTGATTTATGTATGGCTTGTTTTCTGTGTTCTTCTGATGTATTTAGTTTTCTCAATTACTGTGGATAATCGAGGACAGATTATTTTGTTAGCTTTGTGCCTGTAGAATTACAAGCTTGTAGCATTTTCTTTGCGCAAGTTACCACCCACTGATAGGCAGTAATGTGTCTCTTGAGAAGGAACAGCTTCTGCTTGCAAGAACTTGGAAAAGACTCTTGCAGACACGCTTCTTTCATGTACTAAACATCTACAAGTACTGTAGAGCTGTCATGGGAGCATCAGCTGTATTGATCTACTGATTGGTGCTGCCTACGCTTAGTAATAGGTAGTGAGTCTCAGACTTCTCATCTTGCCTTCGAGCACCAGCTGGGACCTGCCCCATCTGTCTGAAGCTGCTGGATGAGTTAGTTGGGGAGTTAGGGAACAAGATGGGAGCAGTGGGAAAGAACAGAGTTGCCTTATTTAAAACCAAATTTTCTACTAAAATAGAAGAAAATCAGAAAGTTCCTTGCTTTCGGATGTCTGCCTATTTTTAGGCAGATACAGAATACATAAAGACAGTACTTCATGAGGAACCTTCTTAGAAGGTCATGTTACATTTTGGAAAGTAAAATAAGTGGGCACCTTAGTACAAGTCTGACAAATTACTCTGTTAGAGATGCATAAGGATTTTTAAAAAATCCTTTTCAGATCTAAACCATTGCAGGTTTGTGGACTCAAGTAGTAGGTACCAAAACAATGCTCGGGGTACTTCTCAACATGTTTTGGTGGCATAGTAAAGAACATGAGGTTTTGATTGCTTGATCCCCCGAACTTCAGGGGATTATTTGAAGATTCCATGAGTTGTCTGTTTCTTGGGATTCTCCTTGTCAAAAAGTGCTCTCCAAACCAATTGACTGTTTTCCTTCTTTTATTCAGAAAGGTGGACATATTTTTTCTGTTCCATCATTTTTTTTTATCCTTTTCATTCTCATAACTCTACGTTTAATGCTAATATATTTAGAGCGTAGGGAAAGTGTCCTGTGTGTTTTAAGTATCACGTTTGAGGCAGATTTTTATTGTGAATCTTGGAGGTTCTGAGGGCTGCCTGTTTCATTGCTTTGGGGATGCTATCAGGAAATGAGTACAAAAAAAGACCTTTACAGAACAAATTGCACACCTGTGACTTATTTTTAGAAACTGAAATACTTTTTCTGAGTGTTAGTTCAGTTGGCAGTGAGTCTGGTAGATGACTGTTTCAATGGCATTACCAACTCACATGTCAGTCCTGTAACTACACAAGGTGAAGAAGATAACTGAGGAAAGCTATTTTGTTCTTCTGTGTGAGGAGATAAGTATTTATAATTTTTTTGGTATTTGATTCAAGAGATTTAATTTACTCCATATACAAATTAATCTTATTTATCTGACTGAATCCTCTCTGGCTTGTTTTTCTTCTCTTCATCTGGTGATATTTCTGACTTTTCCTTCTTCAGCTGCATATTGGTGCTCCGCTGAGCCTACGTTACAGAATTGATAGTAGGCCTCTCCCAGTGCGAAGGCTCTTAAATATCTAAATGCTATAGGAAAAAGGCGGCTAGAAATGCTCACTGAAGTCATCTGTGTTTAGGACAGCTCTTAGAGTTTCCCTTTCTCTTATCTTTTATCTGTGATTTGAGTCTCATTTCTGGCCGTAGGAGGGTGCTTGGTCTATGATGCTTAGAATCAAAAAGGGCAGTCCTGTTGGTTTTAGTGAAGTATTGTAAATAATGAAGCTGTTTGTTTCTATTTGTCTGTCAATGTTAGATATGCCAGCATTGCTATAGGGATAATGCCAGTTAACTAATGCTGCAGAGGACTAGCAAAAGCATTTTTTTTTTTACTGGCTCAGCAAAATATGCTTGCTATTTGCACTACATTGAAAGATTTTTTGCTGAGGGTGTTCATGCCAGTTAGCAAAGTGCTTTATAAAAGTCACCATGTTTGTGTTCTACAAAGTGGCACAGAAGATTAGCAGCAAAGTGACATGGCCAAGGTCAAAACAAGAGGCAAAAACAGAGCTTAAAATAAACCCCAATAATTCTGATTTGGTCAAGTCAGTAGTCCTTCTGTTTCAGTTCTTTGAAGGTGTTCAGCTCTCCTACTTCTTGGACCACCAAGGTAAGCTTGTGGCATCCTGAGATTCAAAGCTTAAGAATTCCAAACTCTGCTATAGCTTTGTTTATTTCATTCAGTTGTTAAGACTTCTTCTGTATGTAAAGATGCCAATAGAGTTTCACATGGTCTCTGGACAGTTGTTCTAGGACTTATGCTATTCTTTGTTCTTTTTTTTTTTTTTCTT